GGGCCATGATGGGCATTAAAGAATGCAGGCAGTCAACGTGGATACAATATGGACCTTTCCTGTGTCAGGCTCAGCTCTAAGTGCTGGAGATAACCTAAGGAGCTCAAGCAACAAAAATTCCTCCTCTCCTGATGCTCAGTAGAATCAAAGATTTTTCAGTGCCTGCTTAGGCAGTCTTGAGCTTATATTCAGTGGGGTTGCTCAGGAGAATAAGCTGTGTTCTTCAAAGGGGCAACAAGAAAGCTGTTCCAGACTGTTCCAACCAAGGGCTGGATTGTCGATGCAGACAGACCCGATGTCGCTGAAACGGTCAGAATGGTCACCCATCTCCAGAGCCTGCAGACAGGAGGCATCCTGTGGCAGGCTGAACAGTAAAGACTTGGAGATACAAATATTAGACTGCCCTTTGGTTCTGTTTATGTCTTAAAGCCCTTAATCTTTTTCCATTGTAGCACTTATTTTTAAAGGGGAATTCTAGCAGCTTCTCTTTGGAGTCTCTAATTCCCTTAAAAACATAGGCCAGAATTACCAAGCGTTCCTGCCTTCATGAAACGTATAGACTGTTGGGCAGAAATCATGTCAATTATACACATAAGCCCTCTGCTGGGCTCAGTGCTACAACAAGGAATGTAGTCCATAATAGGGGGATTTGATCTGGTCAGAGAAATCACAGACAGCTTTCTGGACAAGGAGATTGCTACAGTGAAATCTGAAAGCTGAGGAAGGATTCACTGTGGGAAGAGAGAGGGGAAAAACATTCCAAGCAGCAGGAACAGCATAAGCCAAGGTCCCGGGGCAAAGGTAACAAGGGACAGTTGGGAGGCAAATGACTCAGAAGATCATACAGGCCTTGAGATGTATTAAGGAGTTTTCTATTCATTCTAAGAGTAGCAAGAAACTTTTTTTTTTTTTTTAAGTAAGCAGAGTGAAAGGAGGAAGGGGAATGAACTGCAATCAAATTTCCATTTCAGCAATGTCCCTCTGCCTGTAGTATGACCAGCATTTGGACAGGGACTGGAATGAATGTGGGGAGTATTACTAACAAGGTGACACAAGAATCTAGGCAAAAGATGACAGTTGCTTGGGCCAGACTGGTGGTAATGATAATGGAGATAGAAGTAGACAAATGAGACCTGTAGGGCCCCAGTAGGTAAAAGCTACGGGGTATAGTGGTGGAGGTAAGAGATGGGGGAGAGGAGGATTAAAGATGACTGCCAGTTTTTTGACTTGTAAAACTGGCCAGGAGCCAGCCTGCTGGGAAGGTGATGGAGTCAGTTCAGACATGTTGGGTTTGAGTGGCTGGGAGGCCTCTGGAAGGAGGGCAGAAACGCAGTTGGGTAGGTGGAGCTTACAGGGAAAGTCCCCAGTGGAGGTCTGCAGTGAGCCTTCTGGGGAGAGGGCCTCAGAACTGTGGTGTGATGGGTAGAGTGAGGAAAGGGGAAGGCCTGGGATCTGGCCTTGTGGAACTCTCACACCTCATGGCTGATGGGAGGAGAAGCCTGTACCCTACCAAGGAGAGCCCCTACCAGACACAGAGCCAAAAAACCAGTCTGAAAGCCAAAGGAAGCAGTGTTTGTGGAAAGAAGAGATAGATGGTCAGGGAAGAATGTTGGAGAGAGGGCAGAAAAAATAATAGAGATTCAATAATAATGATAATTCTAATACTGTTAATAACAATAGTCATGGGCAACCACTGTGGAGTTATGAGCCAGGCATTTTAATATGTAATTTAATCTCATAAGACGTTTGTAAGGCAGGTTATATTACCCTCATCTTTACAGACCAGAAAGCTGAGTACAGAGAAATAAAGCTATTGGCCAGAGGTCACACAGCCAGTGTATTAGCTCTCCTTTCTCATACCTCAGCCCCTATCCTTAAATGTGTATTTTCAATGTTGGCAGAATAAAGGCAGCCAGGAAGGAAGGTGGGGGAGGGGTTCTTTTTCTTTTCTTTTGTTGTTGTTATTGTTGTTGTTGTTGTTTTTGAGACCAGGTCTTATGTAGTTTAAGCTGGACTTGAACTCACTGAAGCAGCACAGTGTCGCCACATTCAGCTTGGATTTTTCCTTTTAAAGATTAGGATTCTTTCAGTTACAAATAAGGAAATAGTCCATTGTTGCTGTAGCCCCTGTTCAGGGTGAAGATGGTGGGGTGGTTCAGCTATGGCATGGTGTGGGTCCTCTAGTTGGGCCCTGGTAATGAACGATGCCGCCCCACTTGCCACGTGAAGGGCTTGCCCGGGTGCTCAAGGGTAGAGGTCCTCAGAGTGTGGCCCATGGACCAGCTACATCAACATCCCCTGCAAACTTGATGGGAAAAGCTAATTTTCAGGCTCTACCCCATATCTTCTGAATCAGAGATTCTGGGTGAGGGGTCCAGCAGTCTGCTTTCTAGTAAGTCTTCATGTAATTCCGATGCACAAGTTTGAGAACTCTTGTTCTTGAGAGAATCCTTGAAAAGAAAAAGAGGGAATAACTTCTGGTGCTTATTTCACACAGACGTAAAGTACTGGACGAGAGTCTGTGGTCCTACACCCTGACCCCATGTTGTAATCACCTGGAGAGCTTTAATAACTGCAGGGGCTCAGACCCACCTTAGAGGTGCTGATTTCATTGGGTCAGAATCATATGGTTTCTGAACTGAGGATATGAATGGGGAAGGGATGAGCAGACTGAGCAGTCAGCAAGGCAGCCATGGACTTCGGAGTGCAAAACTGTGCTCTAGGAGGAAAACCAGGCAGGCCTTGAAGAAGCACAAGACAAATGGGAAGTTGGACCTCAGGCACTTTGTGAATACCAGTGAAGCCTGAGTTAATTCCTGAGGTTTGGAGTAATTCCTGAGGCTTGGAAGGAGAGAAGGTATTTAGGATTAATGACAATTTTTTTTTTCATTTTAGCAGTTTTTAGGGGCTGGGGATTTAGCTCAGTGGTTCCACTGCCTGCCTCGCAAGCACAAGGACCTGAGTTCAATTCCCGGTACGCCCCCCAAAAAAATTTACAGTTTTTAATGAAAATTGTATATGAGATTACTTTCTCCCTGCATCATCTCAATTGTTTCTTCCTTACATGTTTCCTTTTCCTTTCCTACTTGGTCTGATTTGGCTTCTCATTCCAGGATCTTTTTTAAGTCTTTGTCTAGTTGTAATTTGGTGACGGCCACCCTCCTGGGGTGAATGTCCACATGGGCAGTTGTGCCACTTGCTTTTTCCCCTCTGCACTCATTGCATTTAGATGACACATTTCTTCCTATAAACCTTGACCACTCTGCCAATCTGCTGACCTTTATAGTGTCCTTGCACAACCTGAGCCCATCATCCTCTTGGATGAGCATAGATGGAACCTTGTATTCCTGCCTAAGCTCTTTGGAAGGAGAGGAAGACATAATCTTCCTTCGAATGTGGGGAGATGGATTGAGATGCCTTTTCTTGCTTTGGTTTGAAGTCACAATGGGACTGAACTCCATTTTGGCCACTACAATTCTAGTGGTGCCTGCAAAGGAGCTACTAACAATTCTTAACTGTGGACTTTTTGTCACAAAGGTGAACATGATGAAGGAAGTATGCTTCCTAAGTAAAGTAGAACCAGCGCTCACTTTTACAGTCTAGATAGAGAACTACCTCCTTTGGGAAACTTCACTTAGACTGTCTATATGTTAACCATACACCCTTCCCTTCTTGTCCTTTAACATTCCTTCCGAATTGATCTGGTCACTTCATTGGTCCCTAAGATGCTCACCCTGTTTCCATTTAGAATACTTCCTGGGCCTCCCACATCAGACAGTAGCCCCTTTCTCCAAATCCTTTTAACACCCACTGTGTCTAGTGTACTCTGTTCTTGGGTTGTTTTATTTCTGTCATTTTTCCCATTTCCCATCTCTAGTCCTGGATTGTTATCTCCCCAGAGAAGTGATGGCTAATACTTCTTTGCCTTTGCCTGCTGCCTAGCACAGCATCCATAGGCTGGGCACTTAGAAAAAAAAAATGTCAAGAAACCGCAAAAGTGGATTTTGATCCATCCTCTCTCCATGTTAGCATAGATTACAGATAAGGAGGTGCCACCTGCAGTGAGGTGTGGCTATAGCTTGGCCATTCTGAAGGATGCCTCAGAAATGAGCCATAAGAACCGTAGAAGGTACAATCTCCAAAGCGAAAAGTAGTCCTCAAAGGAATTGGTCAACTTCCATTCTTTCCTCCATGTCGCTATTATTGCAAAAGTTATTACAACTTATTTCACATTGCATTATTTCAGGTTTCCTAGAGCTGCCTTGACAAATTACCACAACCTTAGTGTCTTTAAAATAATAGCATTGATTCATAGTTCTAGAGGTAAGAGTATGAGACTGGTTTTGCCAGGCCAAAATTAAGATGCTGGGCAATAGACCAGTCTCCTTCCAGAGGCTCTGTTCCTTGCTTCTTCTGGCTTCTGGTGGCTTCCTGTATCCTTTGGCTGATGACTGCACGACACCAGTTTAAGCCTAGAGACCCAGCATAATTCCCCTTTCTCAAGATTCCTGATTTAATCATGTCTGCAAAGTCTTTTTTTTTTTTTTTTTTTTTTTTTTTTTTGGTCTCTT